CAGCTGCAGCAGTGGGAGACGGAGGAGGAGGAGGAGCAGGGGACCGCGCACACCGGCCACCCCCATACCCGTCACCCCCATACCCTGAGTGTGCGGTAGGCGAGCTCAGGTGTGCGCGAAGCATGCACAAGCGTGCGGGAAGCAAAATCGGGTGTGCGGGAAGCGAACTCGGGTGTGCGGTAAGCAAACGCAGGTGTGCGGGGAGGGGGGGGGGGGGGCCGCAGGGCGACACGCGGGTCGACGGGGATGGGCACACCGGTCGCCGGAGGCGGCGCGCGGGTCGACGGGGCCGCCACTAAGGGCGACAGGGAGCCTCGCGCGGGTTGACGGGGACGCCGCGAAGGGCGACGAGGAGCCGCACGCAGGTCGACGGGGACGGGCGTGCGGGTCGACGGAACGCGAAACCGCCGCGTGCGCCCAGGGTGCGCGGTGGGCAGAAAACCGCCACGCGTCCTGAGCGCATGGCGTGCATAATACCGCCGCGCGAAGCAGGAAACCGCCGCGCGCCTCGGGGCGCACGGTGGGCAGAAAACCGCCGCACGCACTGAGCGCGCGGTGGGCAGAAAACCGCCATGCGCCCCGAGCACGTGGCGGGAAGAAAAAAAAAAACTGCCGCACGCCACGGGGCGTGCGGCATAGAGAGTAGCAGTAGCAGTTGCAGCGGAAGCAACGAGGTGGTGAGCCCACCCACAGGATCGATCCAAGGGGATCGACCTGCTCTGATAGCATGTCAAAAGTTAGAAGAAGAAAGAGGATTGAACTAGCAAGAATGAGGATACAAATAGCAAACCCTAGAAGGGTTGTACTCGCTATAGAGCACCCCACTACAGGCTAGAACAATAAGATAATATTCTGACACCTTGCTGTGCGTCGCCACTTACCGACCACTGAGTGTGCGCACTTTAGCCAGTACAAGAGTGCAAAGACCTTGTACCACGCTGTAGTTGCACGCTACTCCTCCCCTGCCACTGCTGCACTTAGCCGCCTCATGCTGCCGTACCTGTTCCCTGACCTTGCTGCCTTTCCCACAGTCGCTGACCTCATTACGCACCTTCGCACTAGTGACACTCGCTACCGCGCTGCGCTTCCTTCTGAGTTCTATGCCAAGAACCCCCCCCCCCCATGTACATCACCCTCTACTACATAGTCACCCGGCTCCCTAACTCCCTTCGCTTAGTCAGAGACCACTTCCTCTCAGTTTGCCCCACCACACGCACCGTTGACCTCCTCGAGGAGAGCCTCCTAGCAGCAGAGAACAGCATAGTCGCTGTAGGAGCCTCTCGTGGTGACCCTCACACCCCCATCTTTGAGGGGTGTTCCCCCTCCCCCCTCTTGCCCTCTGTTGCTTCTACTGCTGCGGCTTACCTCGTTGGTTTCGAGTCGGTCGGCGCTGCGTCCGCCCCTAGCGGGAGACGCCGCACCGGCAAGGGCAAGAGGGGCAAGGGCGCTGGAGGGGCTGGCGGGGGCGGTGGAGGTGGTGGTGGAGGCAGTGGGGGGGGGTGGGGGTGGTGGTGGGAGTGGTGGCGGGGGTGGAGGTGTCGGTGGCAGCAGTGGAGGTGGTGGAGGCGGCGGCGGTGGCGGAGGGAGTGGAGGCGGCGGAGGTGGCGGAGGCAGCGGAGGTGGCGGAGGTGGTGGAGGCGGCGGAGGTGGCAGAGGCGGCGGCGGCAGCGGTGGAGATGGTCGCAGCTCTGCGCAGAGAAGTGGCTCCGGTGGTGGTCCGCGCCAGCAGCAGCAGCGCATTCGTGACACCCTGTCCCCTTAGCAGCTTCGTGAGTGGTACGCTGCGCGTCAGCGCGGTGGGGGTACTGGTCCCTGCACCTACGTCCTCCGTACTGGCGACCGCGCTGGTGAGCAGTGCGGGGGCCCGCACTCCACCCAGCGCTGCTTCGGCCGCCTGACGGACGCGTGGCATCACCAGTTCCCTGAGGCCTCTGAGATCCCTCGCTGGGGAGAGCTGTCTAGGGCGGGGGTTGCTATCTTTGATCTTGACTTTGATGCTATTCTTGCTGCCATGTATGCTGTGTCTGATAGTGTTGAGGGTGACTGTTACCTGTGTGTTCCGCCTGACCCGGGCATTGAGGCTGCTGCTCTAGGTGCTGGTGAGGCTGCTGCTCTAGGTGCTAGTGCTTCTGCTGCCCCAGGTGCTGGTGAGTCTGCTCTCTCAGGTACTACGTCGCCTGAGGCCTTACACACCTTCACCCTTGACTCGGGTGCTTCCCGCTCCTTCTTTCGAGACCGCACCCAGCTTACGCCACTTATTCGGCTGGTTGCGGTCTCCCTGGCGGACCCCTCTGGGGGTCCTGTCCTTGCTAGCTTCTCCACCTTCTTACCGTTCCCGGCAGCCCCCTCTGGCACCCTGACCGGTCTCTACCTCCCCTCGTTCTCTACGAACTTGGTGAGTGGAGCTGACCTACAGGATAGGGGGGTTGACCAGTTCACTCCTGCGAGTCAGCGGGTGACCCACTGCACGTGTGCTCGGACAGGACGACACTTGGCCACGTTCACCCGTCGACCGGGGTCGAGCCTGTACACACTTACTACTGAGTCTCCTCGGACTCCTGAGTCTGGTCAGGTAGCTGCGTCGAGTCAGGTGTTTGCTGCAGCGTCCAGGTCTGGTCCTGAGTCTGCTCCCTGCTCGTGTCGTCTCCTGTCCCACCAGACTCTTCTTTGGCACCACCGCCTTGGTCACCCCTCCCTGCCTCGTCTCCGAGGCATGGCCTCCCGTGTCCTTGTCTCTGGTCTCCCCCGGTCTCTCCCTCCCCTACCTCCGGGGCCTGCCCCTATCTGCGTCCCCTGCGTCGAGGGGCGACAGCGCGCCGCCCTTCACTCCTCCGAGTTTCCTCTGATAGAGGCTCCGCTGCAGACTCTTCACATGGACGTGTGGGGCCCCGCCCGCGTCCGTGGCCAGGGGCACGAGCGTTACTTCCTGTTGGTGGTTGACGACTACTCGCGTTACACCACAGTCTTCCCCTTGCGTAGCAAGGGCGACGTCACTGAGGTGTTGATCGACTGGATCCGCGCAGCTTGTCTCCAGCTCACAGAGAGTTTCGGCTCGGACTTTCCTGTTCTGCGTCTGCACTCTGAGAGAGGCGGGGAGTTTTCCTCTGCCCGTCTGGGAGCCTTCTGTCAAGCATAGGGCATCCGCCAGACCTTCACGCTTCCGGCCTCTCCACAGCAAAATGGGATTGCTGAACGCCGCATTGGCATGGTCATGGACGTCGCTCGTACGTCCATGATCCATGTGGCTGCCCCCCGTTTTCTGTGGCCGTTTGCGGTTCAGTACGCAGCGCATCAGCTCAACCACCAGCCCCGGGTCTCCTTGCCAGAGACCTCCCCCACCCTGCGGTGGACAGGGAAGGTTGGCGATGCGTCTGCGTTTCGGGTCTGGGGATCTCGGGCGTTTGTTCGCGACTTGTCTGCGAACAAGCTGTTCCCCCGTGCTGTTCCCTGCGTCTTCCTTGGCTTCCCCCATGACGCGCGTGGGTGGCATTTTTACCACCCCACCTCGCGCCGTGTTCTGTCCTCCCAGGACGTCACCTTTGACAAGTCGGTGCCTTACTACCGTCTCTTCCCCTACCGCACTGCGCCCCTCCCCCCGCCGCCGCTCTTCCTTGCGCCAGGTCCTCCCCCTGTAGTCCCCCTCCCCCCTCAGGATCCTGCCCCGTCAGGTGTGTCCCAGGTAGACGCAGTCGAGCCTGTCGAGGTAGCTGTTGACTCTGGTGCTGCTAGAGGTGCTGAGCCTGCGGGTGCCGGGTCTGGAGGTGCTGGTCCTGAGGGTGCGGAGCCTGGGGGTGCTGAGTCCAGGGGTGCTGAGCCTAGGGGTGCTGAGTCTGAGGGTGCTGAGTCTGGGGGTGCTGAGTTTGGGGGTGCTGAGCCTGGGGGTGCGGAGCCTGGGGGTGCTGGGTCTGCTCGTGTGGCCGCTCGGGGTGCTTTCTCGAGGCGGGAGCCACTCTCTCCACAGGAGCTGCGCGAGTGGTTTGCCTGGCGCTGGAGCCGTGCTGCTAGAGCTGGAGGTACTACTGTTGCTAGCTGGTCCCGGAGGAACTGGTACTGGCGGTGCTGGAGCTGCTGGGACTGGGGGTGCTGCTGGGGCTGCTGGAGTTGGTCCTGCTGGAGGTACTGCTGGAGCTGCTGGTGGTACTGGAGCTGCCGGTCCTGCTGGAGTTTGTGGTGCTGGAGCTGCTGGAGCTGGAGCTACTGGGGGTGTTGGCGCTGGTGGTTCTGCTGGCGCTGGTGCGTTTGAGGGTGCTGGAGTTGGCGCTGCTGGAGCTGGAGGTGCTACTGGCGCTGGTGCTGCTACTGGGAGTACAGGTGGTGTCCCTGCTGGTTCTGGAAGCGCTGCGCGGCCGCGGCCGTACTTCGTTCCGCTCCTTGAGCAGGTTCTTGGTCTCCCGCCCTCTGCTGGTCCTGCTCCTCCCTTAGAGTGTCCACAGCCTGTCTAGTCGCAGTCACAGTTACAGCCCGCCTCCCCCCTACCTACTCCTTCTCCCTACGCTGGTCCTACTGGAGGTCTTGCTGAGCGTCGTGAGCCTGCGTCTTGTCCTGCGTCGCCTGTTCGTGCTGCTCGCACTAGTCGTCGTGCTCCGTGTTCGCGTCCTCCTACGGTCCCAGGCACACACCAGATGGCACTGCGTACTTCCACTGCTCCTCTGCATGTCCCGTGATAAGAAACAAGGAATGAATGCATTGAGCAGAATGAGGAGTACAAGTAGTAAACCCTAAAGTGTTGTACCCCATATGAACTGCCCCACTACAGCCTACAAAGACTATAGCATATATGCCTACACAGGCAGGGAGGGGTGACCAAGGCGGTGGTGCCAGAGGAGAGTCTTGCGGGACAGTAGACGACACGAGCAGGGAGCAGACTCAGGACCAGACCTGGACGCTGCAGCAAACACCTGACTCGACGCAGCTACCTGGCCAGACTCAGCAGACGGAGGAGACTCAGTAGTAAGGGTGTACAGGCTCAACCCCGGCCGACGGGTGAACGTGGCCAAGTGTCAGCCTGTCCGAGCACACGTGCAGTGGGTCACTCGCTGACTCGCAGGAGTGAACTGGTCAACCCCCCTATCCTGTAGGTCCGCTCCACTCACGAAGTTCGTAGAGAGCGAGAGGAGGTAGAGACCGGACAGGGTGCCAGAGGGGGCTGCCGGGCACGGTAAGACAGTGGAGAAGCTAGCAAGGACAGGACCCCCAGAGGGGTCCGCCAGGGAGACTGCAACCGGCCGACTGAGCGGCGTAAGAGTGGTGCAGTCTCGAAAGAAGGAGCGGGACGCACCCGAGTCAAAGGTGAAGGTGTGTAAGGCCTGAGCTGACGTAGTACCTGAGAGAGCAGACTCACCAGCACCTGGGGCCGCAGACGCACTAGCACCTGGGGCAGCAGACGCACTAGCACCTAGAGCAGCAGCCTCACCAGCACCTAGAGCAGTGGCCTCAATGCGCGGGTCAGGCGGTACACCGAGTAACAGTCACCCTCAACACTAGTAGTCACAGAATACATGGCAACAAGGATAGCATCATAGTCAAGATCAAAGATGGCAACCCCCGCCCTAGACAGATCTCCCTAGCGAGGGATCTCTGACGCCTCGGGGAACTAGCGACGCCACGCGTCCGTCAGGCGACCGAAGCAGCGGTGGGTGGAGTGCGGGCCCCCGCACTGCTCACCAGCTCGGTCGCCGGTACGGAGGACGTAAGTGCAGGGACCAGTACCCCCACCGCGCTGACGCGCAGCGTACCACTCACGAAGCTGCTGAGGGGACAGGGTCACACCACTCCGCTGCTGCTGGCGCGGACCACCACCTGAGCCACTCCTCTGCAAGGAGTCGCGACCCGCCCCACCACCGCCGCCGCCGCCGCCTCCGCCGCCTCCTCCACCTCCGCCTCCTCCGCCACCTCCGCCGCCTCCGCTCCCTCCGCCACCATCGCCGCCTCCTCCGCCTCCACTGCTGCCGCCGCCGCCGCCACCCCCGCCACAACTCCCACCACCACCCCCACCCCCTCCACTACCTCCACCACCACCTCCACCGCCCCCGCCAGCCCCTCCAACGAGGTCGGCCGCAGCAGCAGAAGCAACAGAGAGCAAGAGGGGGGAGGGGGAACACCCCTCAAAGACGGGGGTGCGAGGGTCACCATGAGAGGTTCCTACAGCAACTATGCTCTTCTGTGCTGCTAGGAGGCCTTTCTCGAGGAGGTCAACGGTGAGAGTGGTGGGGCAAACTGAGAGGAAGTGGTCCCTGACTACGCGAAGAGAGTCAGGGAGCCGGGTGACTATGTAGTAGAGGGTGATGTACATGGGGGGGGGTTCTTGGCGCAGAACTTAGCAGGAAGCGCAGCGCGGTAGCGAGTGTCACTAGTGCGGAGGTGCGTAATGAGGTCAGCGACTGTGGGAAAGGCAGCAAGGTCAGGGAAGAGGTACGGTACCATGAGGCGGCTCAGTGCAGCAGAGGCAGGGGAAGAGAAGCGTGCAACTACAGCGTCGTACAAGATCTGAGCACTCTTGTACTGGCTAAAGTGTGCACGCTCAGTGGTCGGTAAGTGGCGACGCACAGCAAGGCGAGCAGCAGCATCGTATGTGGCCCACTATGAGCGAACAGTGCTGTCAGCAGTAGCAGGCGGGGCAGGAGAGACACCAGAGGTGAGATCAAACAGAGAGAGTCCGTCTGCCCTATCGCACTGGAGAAACAGCTGGAGGTCATCGACCCAGACCTCAAAGTCAACAGCACGGCCCTCAGCATCAAAAGTAAGGACACTGGGGGTAGCCATGACTACAGTGGCCTAGTAGGGAGTGAGCTCACCGGTCCGAGGAAGGAGGGCCGGGGCGCACCGGTAGGAACAGCAGCGGCTTGACAGTAGGGCGGCTCGGCGGCTCGGCGGCAGGGCGGCTCGACTGCTGGGTGGTTCGGCTGCTGAGCGGCTCGGCGGCTCGGCTGCTGGGCGGCTCGGCTGCTCGGCAGGTGGGCGGCTCGGCTGCTGGGCGGCGCGGCTGCTGGGCGGCTCGGCTGCTGGGCTGGTGGGCGGCTTGGCTGCTGGGTTGCTCGGCGGCTCGGTCGCTGGGCGGCTGAGCGGTGACAGGGCCGGTAGGGGCGGCGACGTGGCCGCTAGGGGAGGGCGACGGGGCCGCAGGTGACGGCTACGGGGCCGCAGGTGGCGGCGACTGGGCCGCAGGTGGCGGCGACGGGGCCGCAAGTAGCGGCGGGGCCGCAGGTGGCGGCTGCGTGGCCCTAGTTGGCGGCGACGGGGCCACAGGTAGCGGCGACGGGGCCGCAGGTGGCGGCGACGGGGCCGCAGGTGGCGGCGACGGGGCCGCAGGTGGCGGCGACGGGGCCGCAGGTGGCGGCGTCGGGGCCGCAGGTGGCGGCGACGGGGCCGCAGGTGACGGCGACCGGGCCGCAGATGGCGGCGACGGGGTCGCAGAGGGGCCGCAAGGGGCCTAGACGGGGCCGAAGAGGGGCCGCAAGGGGCCTAGACGGGGCCGAAGAGGGGCCGCAAGGGGCCTAAACGGGGCAGTGACGTGGCCGTAAGGGGCCGAAAGGGCGCCGCGAGGGGCCGAAAGGGGGCCGCGCGAGGGCCGTAAGGGCGGCGCGAGGGGCCGCAAGGGGCCGTAAAGGCAGCGCGAGGGGCCGTAAGGGGCCGTAAGGGCGCACGAGGGGCCGTAGAGGGCGGCGCTAGGGGCAGCCCGTCTCCCCCCTACCACAGTCTGTCTAGTCGCAGTCACAGTTACAGCCCGCCTCCCCCCTACCTACTCCTTCTCCCTTCACTGGTCCTACTGGAGGTCTTACTGAGCGTCGTGAGCCTGCGTCTTGTCCTGCGTCGCCTGTTCGTGCTGCTCGCACTAGTCGTCGTGCTCCGCGTCCGCGTCCTCCTACGGTCCCAGGCACACACCAGATGGCACTGCGTACTTCCACTGCTCCTCTGCATGTCCCGTGATAAGAAACGAGGAATGAATGCATTGAGCAGAATGAGGAGTACAAGTAGTAAACCCTAAAGTGTTGTACCCCATATGAACTGCCCCACTACAGCCTACACAGACTATAGCATATATGCCTTACATCCCGTTGCCGTCTCCTCCAGAGTCCTCTCTTCTTGTTCTTGCTGACCCGGAGTCTAACTCTCTTCGTGCTGCCAGTCCTACTATCACGCGTCTGCTAGCTATTGTTGTCGCTGACCCTTCCTTTGAGTCCCTTGCTGCGTCTGCCTTAGTTGCTGAGCTTGTCGACTTTGCTGCTCGCTGTCATCTAGAGTGTGCCGCTAGTCTCGTTGCTGAGTCTGAGTCAATCTGTCCTCCGTCCGTCGAGGGTGAGTGTGCTCTTAGCACGGACGTCCTTGAGGACAGGCAAGAGGAGTTCCAGTGTTTTGCTGCTGCTTTGCCTCATCTCGTGTCCACGTTGATTGCCCCTGAGGGAGACCCGGATGCACCAGACATCCCGACTCCTCGATCGTACGCTGAGGCGATCAAGGGTCCCTACTCCTCTCAGTGGCAGTCAGCCATGGACGCAGAGATGGCTTCCTGGAAGTCCACAGGCACCTACGTCGACGAGGTTCCCCCTCCTGGGGCGAACATCGTCAGTGGCATGTGGATTTTCAGGATGAAGCGGCCGCCGGGTTCTCCGCCTGTCTTCAAGGCGCGTTACGTGGCTCGAGGCTTCAGTCAGCGGCAGGGAGTCGACTACTTTCAAACCTTCTCTCCCACCCCAAAGATGACCACTCTTCAGGTGCTGCTGCACATAGCCGCGCAGCGCGACTACGAGCTCCACTCTCTTGACTTCAGCACAGCTTTCTTGCAGGGCAGCTTACACGAGGAGATCCAGCTGTGCCGCCCACCTGGCTTCACTGGGTCGTTTCCTCCTGGTACCCGATGGAGCCTCCGGCGGCCAGTCTACGGTCTCTGCCAGGCGCCCCGTGAGTGGCACGACACACTGAGGACTACACTTGCGGCTCTTGGGTTTGCTCCTTCTACTGCCGACCCGTCGCTGTTTCTGCGCACCGACACCTCTTTGCCGCCGTTCTACATCCTCGTGTACGTCGACGACTTGGTCTTTGCCACCGCTGACACTGCTGGACTCGCCTACGTGAAGTCCGAGCTGCAGAAGAGACATACTTGCACAGACCTGGGTGAACTGCGCAGCTACCTTGGCTTGCAGATCACCCGGGACAGAGCACAGCGCACCATTACCCTGACTCAGTCACACATGGTGCAGCAGGTCCTTCAGCGCTTCGACTTCACGTACTCCTCGCCTCAGGCCACTCCTTTGTCTACTCGCCACTCGCTCTCAGCTCTGCCTTCGGATGAGTCCGTAGAGCCGAGTGGCCCGTACCCAGAGCTTGTTGGCTGCCTCATGTACCTGATGACCTGCACTCGACCTGACCTTGCATACCCTCTTAGCATCTTGGCACGCTATGTTGCTCCTGGGAGACACCGACCAGAGCACATGGCTGCAGCAAAGAGGGTGTTGCGCTACGTGTGCAGTACGTCGGGCATGGGGCTAGTGCTTGGAGGGCGACGTCGAGTGGTCCTCGTAGGTCACGCAGACGCTTCTTGGGCTGACGACCAGGCTACGCAGCGGTCGTCACAGGGTTACACCTTCAGCCTTGGCTCCGGCTCTGTTTCGTGGCGGTCTACCCGCTCGTCTTCTGTTCTCGGCTCCAGCTGTGAGGCTGAGTTCTACGCGGGGGCCATGGCTGGACAGGAGCTACGCTGGCTCACCTACCTGCTGACTGACCTAGGAGAGCCGCCTCGTTCTCCTCCAGTTCTGTACTTAGACAACAAGGCCATGCTGGCCTTGTGTCGGGAGCACAGACTGGAGCACAGAACGAAGCACATTGCTCTCCGCTACTTCCTTGCTTGTGAGCTGCAGCAGCGTGGCCAGCTGCGCCTTGCTTACGTGGCCTCTGAGGCCAACACTGCTGATATCTTTACCAAGGCACTTCCGTCTGGTGATCATCAGCGTTTCTGTAGGATGCTAGGTCTTGTGCCTACTTGGCCTCACTTGCTCACTTCTTGACCTTGCTTGTACTGTGATCTTTCTATACCTGCACTTGCTTGTTTACCTTTATATATGATCTTGCATGTGAACTAGCCTTTTGGCCTTGCTCTTGGGCTCGGATTGTGTGGTGACATTGTGATCCACCCTGAGCTTGCTTTGCCTCGCTTGATTGGTCTTGTGACCTCTTGTTCTCCCCCACTTTGCCTATGGGGGTGTGTCAAACTCATATCATATAGCTTGTCTAGGCTATAGTGGGGTAGACACTATGGGGTACAGTTTCCTAGGGTTTCCTACTTGTACCCAACCCTGTGCTAGTTTATTCATTCCTCATTCTTTCACACTGCTGCCCTAGGCCAGTGTGCCGCCCCTGCAAGCTAGTAAGGCCCTCGAGCCGCCCCTGCAGGCCCGTCAGGCCTCCGAGCCGCCTCTGCAGGCCCGTCAGGCCCGAGAGCCGCCCGAGTAGGCCCGACAGGTCGGCGCGCTGCCCCTGTAGGACCTTGCTGCCCGTGCGCAGCCTCTGCCCGACCGCGCGCCGCCCCTGCAAGCCCGTCAGGCCAGCGCGCGACCCCGTCAAGTCGCAGTCGCGACCCGGTCAGGCTGCAGTCGTGGCCCCGCCCTGCCGCCGATGCGGATGCGGCCCAGCCCTGCCGTGACGCGACCCCGCCAGCCCTGCAGCTGACGCGGCCGCGCCCTACTGCTGCCGCGGCCGCACCCTTCTGCTGACAGCGGCCGCGCCCTGCTGCTGACGCGGCCGCACCCTGCTGCTGACTACACGCGCTACACCACGGTCTTCCCCTTGCGCACCAAGGGTGAGGTCCCTGATGTTTTGATCCCTTGGATCCGCGCAGCTGGTCTCCAGCTCCGCGAGCAGTTCCAGTCGGACTTTCCTGTCCTGCGTCTGCACTCTGGCAGGGGTGGTGAGTTTTCCTCCGACCTCTTGGGAGCCTACTGTGCGGAGCACGGCATCCGCCAGACGTTCACACTTCCGGCCTCTCCACAGGAGAATGGGGTTGCTGAGCGCCGCATTGCTTTAGTCATGGAGGTCGCTCGTACCTCCATGATCCATGCGGCTGCCCCCCATTTCCTGTGGCCGTTTGTAGTGCAGTACGCTGCGCATCACCTCAACCTCTGGCCCCGTGTCTCTGCTCCGGAGACCTCGCCCACACTGCGTTGGATGGGGGAGGTTGGCGATGCGTCGGTGTTCCGGGTCTGGGGATGTCGAGCCTTTGTCCGCGATACGTCCGTGGACAAGCTTAGCTGCTGACGCGGTCGCGCCCAGCTGCTCACGCGGCCGCGCCCAGCTGCTGACGCGGCCTCGCATCGATCCGCCCTTCCGTCGCCCTTCACCTCTCCCCCTCCTAGCACCCACTCGTTAACATCGCGCTCGAGCTAAACCGTCATCCCGCTCTCCTCTCTCCCATGAATATCACCCACCTCATAGCCGTCACGCGCGCTTCAAATCGCCTTCGTGTCGCTCTTCTTCTCCCTTCGCATCTGTCAGAATCCCAGCCACTAACCACTGGGATAAAAGAGCTTGTTTGTGTAGCGGGTGCGTGCGCCAGGCCTCTGGTTATCAGGGTGATTCACCCTTATGACCCTTACTAAAAGGCTGGGTTTGACGATGCACCCTTTTTTATCAGAGTGGTCAACACTTTAACCCTTACAAGAAAATGTGCTTGGTTATACCACACTGATATTTCAGAGTTATGTGGTGTAGTAACGCTGATGATATTGAGTTAGATCTAATTAAGTATAGTAAGATTACTCGCGTGAAATACATCGTCGTTCAGATTGGCCTACTTAGAGTATCGAACTCGAGTCATACGCATAGATTCCTCTACACAACTCACTACAACACCAACAACTTACACATTTAGGAATGTTCATCTAATTGTAGATAAAGCATATTATATTTGCACGCTTACTAGAAAGAGTAGTTTTTGTGAGAACCCTTTCAGAAAAAGTGCAAGCGGGGTGTTGGCCTTACGTGAAAGAGTAGCTCAAAACCTAACCAGAGGCCTAGCGTGCGCCCATAAACCCCCAGGCCAGCGTGTCTGTAACCCTTCTCTAGGATCAATCGGGCATCACCAGTGGACCTCTGACAGCATCCTCCACCTCGTCGCCCTCTCATTCGCCCCAAAAATGTAAAATTTTAAGTTTCACTTAAATTTTGAGAATTGTGATTCGACTCGTAGAGGAGTTTGCAGTAAAGGAGACAACCTCCTTTACATTCCCGCATGTCTCTCAGACCTGCCACCTAATCTCATCAACATTTTCCAGATCTTCATTTGCTTACCACCAGCACACTCATGTGTGATTAGGTCAAGAGGGGGGGTACAAGATGTCAGAATGTGATGTTTGTCTAGCCTGCTGTGTGGTACTCTATAGCGAGTACAGTCCGAATTAGGGTTTGCTATATGTACTCAACGGCCTGCTAGTGAAAACTCACTTTCTTGTTTCTGATTCTTGCCTAGACTTTCTGACACAAGAAGAATGTCAAGAAGAATGGTGTACCCCCTAGTGCTAACCCCCATATAGCCTAGATAACTTAAACATGCATATAATTTGACACACCCCCATAGGTGAAATAGGGGATAGCCAAAGCAAGCAAAGGTTACAAGACCAGTCAAGAGAAGAAACAAAACACAGCTCAAGTGATCGCAAAGTCACCACACACACTTAGCACAAACAAGTGTCAGAATCCCGGTCACTAACCACTGGGATAAAATGGCTTGTTTGTGTAGCGGGTGAGTGCACCCATAACCCCCCAGGCCAACGTGCCTGTAACCCTTCTCTGGAATCAATCGGGAACCTCCAGTGGACCTTTGACACCCCCCCGCACTAGGATGCCCGAAGTGCACACAACGGGATCCGAACCCGAGATCTTTGCTCTGATACCATGTCAAAATCCCAGCCACTAACCACTGGGATAAAAGAGCTTGTTTCTGTAGCGGGTGAGTACGCCCATAACCCCCCATGCCAACGTGCCTGTAACCCTTCCGTAGGATCAATCGAG